GCGCTGCCATCTTACCTGTGACGTCACGGCTCTTGGGAGGCCACGTGACGAGTGGTCACATTTGCGTAAAATATGGCGGCAACCGGGGGGGTGCCACTTCCGAACTTCCGGTTTATCACTCTAAGCCCCTCTACCTCGTTGACCCCGCCGAACCCGCTGAACTTCCCGGATGTGTGGAGAGGGCGCTGCGGTCGAACAAAATGGTGCCGCCCAGAGAGCGCTAAATGGAATGGTCTATAGATCAGGCAATATCCGGCAGAAACATCATGTGCGCGATCTGCGGTACCGCGCTAATCCCAACAAGCGCGTGTACAGCGGGTTCCTTCGGGTTTAACGCACTATGCCACGCAAATCTCCTGCCTCCGCGTTCTGAGATATCCTTTCTCGGGACATAAGTATTCGCAGCTCGTTCTCGCGTTTCTTTTCTTTTTTTTTTTTTTTTTGGTTCCTTTGCGATTTGCGCGCCCGATATTGTTTTCCGTGAAAGGCAAGTTTGTAGCGGTCTTCGGCATTTTTATGGCACTGTGAAACTGGAATCTGCTGCATCCATGATCTGCGGTATACGTTCCTGTGAGAGAGCAGGGGCGTTCCTAGCGAAATCCCGCGTGTTTTTCGCACCGTTGAACGCTAATTTGCCTTGTCCGAGATCTGTGGTATCAGTTCCTGTTTACGTGGTTCGTAAAAGGAACCACGTAAACGAAAGTTGGAGGGAGGGTGAGGGATCCCTTTTTTCTCCTCGTGTTAATCACTAATTTTGCATAAAATAATGCTGTCGGATCTCCAAGCATTGCCCACCCTATATTTTTACCATTTATTTCTTCATTTAGTGTTGGCCTACCTACGGGATTTTACGACAGGAAACAATCGGTCGAAGAATGGGGACAGGTCACGTTTTATCTAATTGAAGATATGAATTGAAAGCTTCATTTGGAAAGTTGTGTTATGCTAAAAAGATTATATAAAAAAAACGGCCTTAGGTGGTTTACGGGCTAAAGGCTTTCAATACAGCGTGCTGCTTTTTTTATTTTTTTTTATAAAATATGAAATCGAAAAGTATATTTTATTTATAATATGCCAATAAATCTAAATATATTGTCGAGAATTTTTTTTTACATGATTTGTTTTGAATATTTTTTTTTCGAAACGAGGACCCCCAAATTATTAACGGGGACACGCTCAATCACACTGTTTCTGAATTGAAACATTTTATTAATCAATCATAACCTTACAAATGGAAGCCGATCGCCCTCGTCGGTGTTAGACTGGTGGCAGCTGATAAAACTCATTTGCTCTACTAACGTCTAACTCCTGCTTAGCTCAGTCGGTAGAGCGCTCCACTGGAAATGGAGAAATCCCTGGTTCGTACCAGGACCAAATGGATTTTTTCCACCGCGCAGCAGTCACCCAGCTGTGTTTGAATATTTGTGTTTGTCCTTTGTCTCCCTTGTTCCTGTTCTTTAGGGATTATTATCGTCACGATTACAACTTTCTTTCATACCGAGGTTGATAAATTATTGAGCACGCCTTGTAGCAGTGAACTGGTAAAAGGGTTGATAAGATACGTTATTGAATTTCAACCTTAAGAGGGTTTCGAGCAGGAAGTCACTAATAAAAAAAGAGTTTCATTAAAAAAAATGTTTAATGATGCAAATTTGTGCCTGAAACTTAAAAGGAAATGGTTTCGTGCATCTCGCGTCGGAGACGGTACGGCCGCTGTCCCCAACGTAGCGTGTTGTTGATCTTTTTATACACCCGGTGCATTAAAGAAATTTCTTAACTATAACTAGGGTTGCGCGTTTTCGCTTTTTATTTTCTCAAAATTCGGCGTACTGTTTTTGGTGTTTATTCTAAAAACAATTTTCAGTTTTTTCTGGTGTACATTTAAACCCACAAAAGTTTACCGTCTTTTTTTCAGTCAATATGAAATAGACACCAACGGACACTGGATCCGATGATCCTTGTGCTTTTAATATTTGTTCTCACTCAAAGAATAACGGCACAGATACATTGAAAAAGAAATGGACACTTTTGGCAAATGTGTGCAACTGTAAAAGAAACAAGAAAAAAACAACAGAAGTATAGACAAGTCAGATATGAAGCCTACGCCCAAAAAACATGGAACTTCACATTCTGAACATCAGGATTACGTGATCTTATTATAGTAAACACACATGTACTTTCCCAGGGCTTCGTTGATCCGCACTCTTTCTTTCCAATTAATATGATCCCGAGCTTCGAGAATAACACTGGACACTAGCAGGCTGAGAAGGTAAAGCGCTGCCTGAACCAAATTCGGCCACTCAACCAAATTTGACCGTCAAAAAAGACACGGTGCGACGTTTTGAAACACAACATATTTCGTGTACTCACTAAACTCTGGCTGCAGAGCTTGCATCAAGTCAGTCTCCCTTACAACGAGTTTGAAAACACGCCCGTACATGGCGAAGTCATGGGGCATTTCGGACTTCACGTTCCGGTCGATGATGCGCACATTAAACCATAACGTCGTGATGGCATCCGTTTATCCCATACAATAGGAAGTTTTCGTAGACCGCGTTTCGCCCTCTGCTAAGCCCTCCGCAACGAAAAAGCCAGTAGTGCACCTGCGCGCCGACGGCTTTGACAGTAGAGTTCCGGCCATCGTAGCGGGTTGCGGAGAGCGTTGCGGAGAGCGTTGCGGGACGGCGAAAACCATCCACGAAAACTCCCTATTCGGACACGTTTCGATAGACATTAGGGAGTTTTCGTAGATGATTTTCGAAGTCCCGCAAGGCCCTCCGCAACCCGCTACGATAGCGGGAACTCCACAGTCAAGGCTATCGGCACACAGGCGCAGTAGCAACTTCTTCGTTGCGGAACGCTTAGCGGAGGGGGCAGCGCGGTCTAGGAAAACTCCCTATTAGGGAGTTTTCGTAGACCGCACTGCCCCCTCCGCTAAGCCCTCCGCAACGAAGCCTTCACTGTAGAGTTCCGGCTAGCGTAGCTGGTTGCGGAGAGCGTTGCGGGACAGCGGAAACGATCTACGAAAACTCCCTACTGTCGTTCCACCTTTTTGCCATGGCTCTGCGGTACGACTGGAAGGTCAAAGTGGCCTTTTTCGGTTAACACCGAATTTTAGAAAATGGAGTCGACGTACTTTTAACGGTTTTTAACGGTTTAAAACGAAAACGCCGAACCTACAAACTGACCTTTTTCGGTTAAAACCAAATTTCATAAAATGGATTCGGCGTACTTTTATCGGTTTAAACCGAAAACTCCGAACCCTAGCTATAACAAGGAATGGCAGGCGGGAATGACAGAACATTCCCAGGAAAGATTGAGAAAAGCAATAACTGGGTTTGTCCGGGCCTCGAACCCAGTTCTTCCGCGTGGATCCGCGTGGTAGCAACACCTAGATAACCAGGCCGTGCTGATAGAGACGTCGTCTTCAGCGAAGGCCAGCACCGGTCATAGGCTGGGCACGACAATTGCGTCAACGTTAGGCTCAAACTTGCCTCGAAGCCGAGCAATGACTCGTTTCCAATCTGCGTCCAGCGTTTGCCTTTGCTGGTGACGCAAAAGTGTCAGCACTACGGCATTGTTTTCTAAGTGTGCTGGCGGCAGCCACGGAAATTATCTTTTTATTTTTTTTCCTTCGTACACTCCATTCACATTTGCAGAAGCAGTGATGTGATCGCATGGGTATAAGTCGATTATATTTTAAATCAAAATCCTTTGTTTGCACTTCACCACATGTTCATTATCTAAACCGCTTTTTGGTTTTGTGTACTGGCTGCTGCGGTAAAATATTTTTTTTTTTGCTATTTATCTCTGCTGTTTTTGTATAATATGAACAATGGCATATTGAGGTCAGCTAATCTATACAACCTTTTCTAATGGAATACTTCGCATTAATTCAACATGCTTATAGTATTTTGTATAGTGGCATATATCAGCAACGCATTTCTGAAAGTCGTACCAAAGCACGTGTGAAGCTTTTTTATGCAGATATTTTGATAGTGTCGATACTAGTTCTCTCCTGCAAAGGCACGACGGTGGTATTTCGAAAGAGGTTCTCTAATAGTTCGTATTGAGCGACTAGACTCAACAGACAATACGTGATTTCAAACTTCGTACCTTGGCTATCGCTTACACTAATACTAGTGTACGAGCGCATGTACAGTCGCAATCAAACTTAATTGAAACGCTGGAACGAGCGTTTTTATCATTTTTCCCTACGAGACGTTAGCTTGGGGGAAGCCGATGGTATTACGTGGTCACGTGACGGCGTGCCGATTTCAGAGCGCGGGCCCCGGGGGGGGGGGGGGGGGGGGGCGGCAAGGCGGGGCGGAGGGAGGGGTACGGTAGACTCTGAGCCCGGTTGGGTATCGCATCAGATAACGTTAAACAAGTCATCAAGAATACGCCATATTTAGAACGGTTTTATTTTATCTTTAATATATTTATTTTTGTTTCTGAAAATCTGCTGTAAAATGCATGTGTGCAGAATAAAAATACAAGACGAAAAGAGACAAGCGGTGCATGTTATTTCTTTTAACCAATAGATCTGAGAGCCTCCTGGCGCTCCCTCCGCGCTCGGAAAAGGGCCCGCCCCACACGTGACCAATTGGTACCACCGGCCTCCGCCAGGCTAGCGCGCCGCAGAAAAAGACGCGCGATCGAGAGTTCCAGTTAAATTTGATTGCGACTGTACTTCTGCTCGTCGTCGAAGAGGCGCACGCACTTATACAGTCATCCCTGCTGGTAGGCAAAACACAATAACTTTTGCATACATAAAGTTCTTCACAGAAGTTTCTCTATGGGTGACGATATGTATGCGAAAAACAAACAAAAACCAAATCGTTCGACGATGCAAAATAGAGCATCTATAGTGCTTTAAAAGGGAACGAATTGCGCGGAACTGAATAGAATTCCGTCCTTTAGAACAATGTGCCTTCCGGACCACGTGACGTGGAGGCGTTCTTTTCAGCCAATTGTATCACCTTGTTCTGTCTTCGCAGGGTCGGCTATAGATTGCCCTTATTTCTGGGAAATATTGTGATACTTGCTTCCTGCTTGTGTAAGTATTCAAGGCGTTCGCTCGTAGACCTCTTTGGCGCATTTCCCGCGCTTTACAACTGGACGTTCAACCATTCCCTTTGTCCCCCTCATTCTCTCTCAGTATTTGCTTTCGGAGAGACATTTCCGGTGTTGTTCCTCGCCAGAGCCATTCAAGGAGTAGGCTCTTCGTGCATCACAGTTGCCGGTGAGTTGCCAGCAATCTCTGTCTAATAGGAGACTTTTTTTTTATTTAGAAGAAACTGCAAAACAGTAGTTGGTCCAAGGAGAAATAAAAAAACACGTGCGCCCGCGCGCGCGTGCGCGCACGCGCGCACACACACACACACACGCACACGCACCCCCCCCCCCACACACACACACAAAGGCACTTTATAACCATTGAAAACATTTGTTTGCTCCTGTAAGAACTAGATTTGGTAGAAATGAGTGAAACTCTCCGTTGCATGCAGAGGGAACAACTCGCAAAATTTTGGTACGTAGATGAGACTGATATATTAGTGAGAGGCGCCTTAAATGAGACTGATGCCTCCATCAGAATAACACCATCGTCGCCTTAGATTTTTTATTTTTTTTTGTAACGAACAAACATAATATCAGTAATCATGTTCAAAGCTAGAAATTAATATTGTTTCTTTTTGGATAGAACTTAACTAATTGAATGCAGTTAAAAAGGAAAAAAATAAAAATCTCTACGTCCTGTACACATGATTTGGCATATGAATGCGGCAAGGCATTAACCTGAGCTTGTTGGTAAAAAAATTATAAACATACATGACTGCGCTAACATAGCAGAAGGACGGACACAAGGAACAGAATACACAAAAAAGGTCTTGTGTTTGTGCTCTGTTCCTTGAATCTTTCGTCTGTTTTACCGCTGTTTTGCCATTAGTTCTATAGGACTGCGACGTTTCCGTTGGTGAATTGAGGTAGATCTTCTTGACCATGCGTTTAATGCGAAATCATCGAAGAACGCGAAACAAATTGTTATAATTGAGGGTAGCGTTATCTTCAACAAAGCAATAATCAAAATGGGTTGTTAAATTGAATTAAAAAAATAATGTAGTGGACAGCTTGGCAAGCAACATTATGCTCTCTTCCTGAAGAATGCTCCTAAACAACAGTAACGTTCTTTTCGGACGCGGCACGTGCTACCATTTTCGATTGTAGTAACTCTGTGCGTTTGCTTCCACGGCCATGTGGCGTTTGTGCAGACGCGGCAACAAATCAGCAGTCCATGTCAAATGTTTAACACTAAATACACTGTTTAGCGTGTTTTCTTCTTCATTTCATTTTGAAGGGCTCGGTGCTGTGGCGAGTCTTTATCCAGACGACAGTCGTCGCAGCAAAGTGATGGGCTTCACGCTGGGCGGCGCTGCCTTGGGCGTCCTCGGTTAGTCTTTCCCTTAATTCTCAGCGCACTAAAAATTGGTTTGCTCTGTATGTTTATACATCGGAATTAAAAACAGCGCGGAAAGACGAGGACCAGACAAAGAAGTGACACGGACGTAGCGCTGTGTCACTTCTTTGTCTGGTCCTCGTCTTTCCGCGCTGTTTTTAATTCCGATGTATGTACCAACTCGCCCAAGCCTCAACTTTAGCATGTTTATACAGCCTTGATGGAGATACGCCACGACGGGTAATCGGTCTGTTGGCTGTAGATGAGAAATTTAGCCACTCTTGGTGATACAGTTTATATATTGGCTTTTTCTAGCGTGAGCTGAAACATGGTGGCGCCAGTGTGCAGATAGCCTCCAACCACTTCCGGTTCTGAAGCAGACGGCGGGTTTCGCAGTACTTGGGAAATCCAATATTCACGCTATCTTCTGAAAATGGCGACTTTTAGCACTGTCATACTTTATTCACGGTTATGATAAAAGAATGATGAGTAAAAAAGAGGAAATATGCGTGCACCGGAAGTGTGCCGGGGCTACTTAATAGATGAAGCCACCAAATTTGTTGCCAAACAAAAAAAACAAACAAAAAAGGCGAAGCGTTAATCGTGTTCGTTTGTTACAGCCGGTTACCCCTACGGCGGAGTCCTGTACGACTTCGTGGGAAAGACGACTCCTTTCGTCGTTTTGGCCTCATTTAGCATCGTTCTTAGCGGTGCGTATGGCCATCAATATTTAATAAAAAGAAATCACATATTGGCGCCAGCTCTCCGGATTTGCCGCGGGGTGGTTGAATTTCTCCTAAAGTTTAATCATACATGCAGAGCTGTAGCTGCTTGAATTTCATAAGTCTTCACTCGTATTTAAAAGAAAAGAAAGAGATAAGCTAGCTTGTGTTTTATTCAGCACAGCACGTGGGAAGCCAATTGCTGCAATTTACGCAATGTTTGCGACCAAAAGCGCCGCTGTGCTTGGGTTTTTGCGATTGGTCAAACATCGAGAGAAATATAAGTGATGTCAGACTGTCAGTTTTGATGGTGTTGGTTTAAGAATGGAATGACTACAAGCTTCCACCGTGCCGCTTACGCATAAGCCATCAAACTTGTTCCTAACTATGATCAGCAGTCAGAATAACAACTCGTGACATCACGGCGAGACAAGTCAAGGTCGTTACGTCACGGATAGGAAGCCATACGAGCGAACTGCCGAAACACACCGGCGGTAATACTACGTTTCTTACATAGTGCCAATAGCTTTGACAGGGAAAAAAATGTATAGGCAACGATTATTAGAAAAGTATTGGGAACGTATGTTTTGGGTGCAGCTTTGCACGCTGACGCCAAATTAAGTGTTCCATCTCAAACCTTGTTTTTCCGTCAAACATTTCCTCTGCCTCGTTAACGTCGACCTCACTTGCCGGGTCTCAGCGATTGACATCTATATTTACTCGGTCGAGAAGAGGACGTGTGAGCCATTTTTAGACTGCATCGATGCTAGAAGCATCCAGATGGTCGAGGATACGAATCAAATGAAGTGATCGACGACGGTCAGGAACGCGATAGCGTTTTCGTGACCAACGTATAATCACAAAAAAAAAAAAAAAAAAAAAAAAACGCTTTGTTGGCAAGGGAGTTTGGCCGCCGACATCGCTTTGCTCGTGTGAGAAAACCTGTGCAGATGAAAGCCTGCTAATGTTGTAGACAGACGTGCTGTTTAGAAAAGAAGTCAGCGTTTGCCCACAACAGGTGTGGGCACTGCGAGTGCGCAGAAACCAGATTTGCGTGAGGAGTCTTAGCATGCGCCGTGGGCCGACGGTAGCGCCACCGCAGTTGCGTGACGTCAGAGCCGCATGTTGGTGAATACCATTCGTGCTCACGCTACGCGTTCGTGCCCGCATGCAACACTAGCCCGGACGCCGAGCATGAGAGATCACAAGTATCGAGACCCGAGTATGATTTGTGATATCATGGCCAGACTGGCTATTTCAGTGATGTGTATGATCTATTACTCTACCTAATCCGAGTTTAACAGCGGCGCTCACTCACGGCAGTATTTTATGGAAATTGAGACTGCGGGAAGTTAGTCTGGGTGCGTGGAGATGAGAAAGGCATCCAGTGCTGAACGACTACCAGCCCGGGCTCTTGAACCAACATCGTGATGTACTGATGCGAGACGGCACGCTGGCACGATGATCACGCCGAATCAGGCAGGGCTAAGAATTAAACAGTCATAGTGCAATATGCAACTGTATGGCGCGGGATTTTCTTTCATTATCGCTGCAGCGTATCTTGTTAATGTCGATGTACTGTCACCCGCACGGCTGATAGCCTCGCACGTTTTTTCAGCTTTTGTCACTTGAAAGCATTGCCCTATGCTTAAACTCGTGTGCGGTAAATAAAGCAGTCCTAAAAAAACGCTATTTGTAGATCACATAAATAAACGTGCAACAGTAGACATGCGTCCTGATCAATGTTTCTGCCTGCAGTGCTGTGCGCCCTGCTTGCCCTGCCCACCCACGAGGAAACGGTGAGTGATAGTGCTGCGAAGTTACCCGCAATTTTCGCTTTTTCCTTTTTATTCCGTCATACAGATAAGGGAGAGTAAGGAAACTCCACTATAGTAAGCATTTTTTTTTTCAATTTTACATAATATTTTTCTAAATAGCAAGTTAATTGATCGAAAAATGGTACCAGTAATTTACCGCTAGAGTAGTCCCCCAGAATGAAATAGCTAGAGCATTTCAGTATCCGAAAGTGCATCAAACAACGGGTACGTCCGGCCAAGATGTAATACTATATACTTTGTTTACGTGGCATGGGTTGGCGCATATTCCGCGCCCTAGCTGCGCTTCTTTTTTGCGTTTCAAACATACCACAAGTAGTAACTACCTGATCAAATAGAGCATGCGATCTCGTCATTGAACAGTAGCAATCCTGCCCTTCCAAGAGAAACAAAAAACATGAGTTAATTGTCCAGTTGTTAAACACTCTCTCGCTGCCTGGACAGATGCGTACAGTGAGGCGAAACAGCTCAATACTATTCGTATAAAGTGCGTAAGTAAAAACGAGGGTAGTCCGTCAGCTTACCTTGTATCGACCAGCTCGTGCAGAAAACTGTTGAGTGAATTAACCTGAGTTGTGCTACAAGGTAGTGTATTACAATCATCGATAGCTGGAAAAAATGAATTATGTTAAAAGCAGTCTAGGTGATTATGATAGACACGTGCCCTCAAAATGTACTAAATGACATGCGAGCGCAAAGTATGCCTTAAAAATTCCGGGAATTTGCCTTAAAATCTTTCAGTCTCGATTGATGTATACTTTTGCGAGAAACACGGAGTCTCGTCTATTTCTAGAGTAACTGACAAGTCCGGTCTCGCAGGGGTTTTTCTTTTTCGATGAGAGGAAGCCAGCTATGCAGGAGAGGCGCCGATTTTTAGCGTGAAAAACGAGAGGCATGAGTAGTCAATATTCCCCACGGGGCGGCATTACCCCGTTCCGTAATATACTTCCATTGTCAGGCTTCAGAAATCTAAGCCATATAGTTTAAAACACACACGCGCGCGCGCACAAACACATAGACGCGCACGCATACCAGACACAAACATACAGGCATAAAGATGTACTCATGCATGAACAGGCACACACACACACACGCCATATATATATATATATATATATATACACACACACACACACACATACACACACACCCGTATACACTCGCACAGACGCACGCACAGATGTACACACACATACATGCTCGCACACACACAAACATACATACACATGTACAAACACATACACTCCCATACACACGCACGGACAAATGACAAACCACCGGAGCTTTGAGAGTTGGAAATCTGTGGACGACTTATATGCTGCAAGCATTCGTACTCGTGAATATTTGCATCTCAGACTATTTGGACTCTTCAATGTCGGAATCACCGTCCTCTAGGTCTTTGGTATACACGTACGTTTAAATTAAAATAGGCCATGTTGAATGTTGAGGTGAACACACACAATATCTAACCCGCATCATTGGTACATACAATTCAGCTGTAATAAAAACAACGCAAATGCTTGATACAGAAACATTATTTATTTTGTCACAGGTTTAGAAGTCGCTCCCCTTCCTTAATTCGACCTCTCAATTGAGGTGGATTTTTAAGATCGTCGACATCGTGCAAAGGCTGAGATTTGTGAAACTTCTATTCCAGCCCTTGTTACGCCAAGTGTCTTCTCTCACACTCCTTATGGATCCCTACGTACTTATTGTCACTGGTAAGTAGGAAAGTCTCAAATCAGATTCGCGTCACTGTTCTCTTACGAAAGTGATTTATTTTCACCGCTTAATATAAACTTCCTACACCGCGTTTGAAGAAAAAAACAGTACGTATGTTCCTTTTTGAGAAGCACCTAGAAACGTTTGGTACCATCTTTTACAATTATTTTCGGGCTAGACCTCCATGACCACAGTACGTTTTATTTTATGCTGGTCCACTGTGGACACTATAATCCGCACCAGCGTCAGTGTCATGTCACGTCACCATAGGCTCCGCATATCGCACCGTTCAAACTGAAGTTCACGTGACGCGCTTTTGCAGTCAAAATAGCTAATGAGGCTGGTAACGTCGGCCGTGTGCCACTTTAAGCCAAAGCGGTGCATGTATACTGCCTCAAATGCATTAGTAAGCTGGCATCAGTCTTAAAATTGAAATTAGACTCGTCGTGAACCAATATTCTTAAATGGGCGGTGCAACAATTTTCGACAATATTTGCGGGACCTAAAGTTGCTAGCCTACAGATTTTTTTTTTTTTTTTGCGTTTGTTAGTTTAAAAAGAAATTAAATGAATCGAAGGTCGAGGTCCCCTTCAACTCATCGTCTTTCGCGTGAGGTTTGCAGCTGCGTCACTGGAAGTACTACGTTTGGTTCTATCTTCAGTAATCCCCCCCCCCCCTCCTTCCATCTTTCCACGATTGTCGACTTTTAAAGGGGCACTGAACAACTTGCTGATGTTGTCTAATTATGGTCATAACTCAATAGACCATTTACTAAATCCCCCAAACGCCTGCACTCACTCCCTTGCGACCGGAAATTTCGACCAATTCGATGGTTACACATTTCTGAGTGTATTCCGAAGTCAACCTGAATAAGCGTTGTGTAGAATGCCGGGACCTATAGTCATATCACTTTTGTCATTTCTCGTCAATGTCAGCGTTTTTCATATTGCACATGCAATCTACCCTTCAACCTGGTTGATCGTGCTGCAGAAATATCTTACAATATTCTCATTCTTGTACTACTTCAAAGAGGCGGATATTTAATTAGAAAAGCTAAAAATGCTAAACACAATTTCTGCTAACACAACAATCGCGAGAATGACAATATTGTAAGGAATTTCTGCAGCTATGTCATTTGAAGGGTGGATTGTATGCACAGTTTGAAAAACGCTGACATTGACTAGAAATTTTAAAAGTGGCATGACAGTTCACTGCAATCTACACGATGCTCATTCAGGATGACTTCGGATTGCACTCAAAAGTGCATAAGCATCGAATTGGTCCAAATTATCCATAACTAGGGAACTGAAGGTCCCATGATTCCTCGAGTACGTGGCAAAGCGCTAGGGGGATTTAGCAAGTGGTTTATTCATGGGCTCTGAACACTGCTGGCGGTAACGCGCTACTAGTCACGGCGCGTTACTGGTAACGAGTTACTTTTCTCTGTAATGTAGTAACTTCCTCGTTACTTTTTCTAAACAGTAACGGGTAACATACCTAAGTTACTTATTTCAAGTAACATAGTTACGTTACTGGTTACATCTTTCCGAGACCTGAGAAAAGTACTTAAAATTTTCTCGTGTTTTAACGGGACAGCGTTAAGGAGCTCGTGTCGCTGAAAACCCGATGTCAGTGGCGTGACGGGAAAATCCGGATTGGTCGGTAGGGTCATGACGTCGCAGCCACGTGAACTCGCGCGGGAATTTCAAACAACTCTCACGTGAAACGTGACGTCACCCGTAGAATGAGAGGGATTAAGAAACATGACATGTAATGCGAATTGAAGGTCGCCGCATGTCTCAAATGGTTTTACTTTATAAAGTAGTGAGTGTGCCTTAAAGAAAAATGTGAAGAATTTTAGGCAGGATTCGATCTCAAGAGCATGAGAAGCGAATGAGAAGCCCATGCGAACGGGGCCGGATGACGCTATCGTGTTCCGCTCTTAAAGGCGAATCTTAAGCGTCCTCCACGTTTTTATGCTTTTTCACCTGAAGTCCATACGCAGCCGACGCTACGAACTGATGGGACCAATCAGAAAGCGTCAAACAGGGGTCATAATGGTGTTCGACTTGTTTTAAAGCACAGCTCTTAGGCGCCCGTTTCCGGCTTGAGCAGCGTCGCCGTCGCCGTCGGCGTAACCGCGCGGTGCATTATGGGTAAATTTCTCTGCTAAATCTAGCGGAAAAATTTCCTCACTAAATCTAGCGGGAAAAATTTCCGAGCTAAATCCAGCGGAAAACTTTCCCCACTAAATTTAGCGGAAAAATTTCCTCGCTGAATCTAGCGGAAAAATTTCCCCGCTAAATTTAGTGGAAAAATTTCCCCGCCAAATTTAGCGGAACATTTTCCCTTAAATGGGAGGCGAGCAGGAGAGGAGGAGGGGCATAGCCTCCTCTCCGTACCTTCCCCTTCTCCTCCTCAAGAGCTGCGCTCTAATTCGGCGTTACAGGGAGTTGTAAACGGCTTTCATTTTTTGGACGTGATTTAATATCGCTGAACCAATCAGAAACAAAAAAGGGCCCAGTGACTTTCGCTTTTTACTCTGCTTGATTAGTCCCATTAGGTCGTAACGTCGGCTACGTCTGAACTTCAGCTGAAACGAAGTATAGGCGCCAAGTCATTAATTATTGCTCTCATTCCACATACCTTCGAAATTTTGCCTGTCTGTTCCACTTAGAAGAAGGAAAAACGCCTACGCCTTCTTTCTTGGTGTCGAAAAACGCTGTTACGGCCAGTTTATAAATAAAAAAAGTAACGGAAAGGTAATTTGCGTTACTTTTTATCGGTAACGGGTTCCTTTTATTTTGAGGTAGCGTAGGTCGGTAACGCGTTCCTTTTATTTGCCAGTAACAAGTAACGTATTTTGTTGTTGTTTTTCTCGATAACGCCTACAACACTAGCTTTAAGTAACATAAACAATACATTCGTGCGCGGCTGTCTTTATCTTAAAAGTTTATATCAAAAGATCGACACGAGACGGCGCCCTCGGTCGTGAAAGGAGAGAGACGTATATTTGGAGAGTGCGGTCATTGATTGAATAGGGCATTGAATAGGGCAAAAGTAAGGGCACGTCATTGGCCGAAATTGTTTCAATAACCATGGGCGCCTTGATTGACAGCTTTTCTGACCAACCAGTAGTCACGAACATTCCCCCAGCGGAGGCAATTAGCTTAACATATGCCCCCCCCCCCCCCCCAAAAAAAAAAAAAAAATCACAATATGTAGGTGAGGATGTACTCACGTATTTCATTTCAGCACACTAAAGTGGGAAGTTTGCGACTCTTCATAACTTAAAGGGGAAAGGCACGTGACGTCTTCGTCATGGCGACATTTAGAAAGCACCCAGCCGCGGCCATGAGCGAGTGAACGGTTGAAACCGTGGACTTAACTCCGCGGGAAATTCGACCCGAACGCCGAACTCGCATTCTATGTTCGCAGCTTCGTCTAAAGTTACAGGAAACATTTCTCTTCAGTCTCACCTTTTCTGGTTTAGTAAAAGCCCTGAGCACCTTGAAAATCTCTATTTCCATCAAACTCTTACAATTATACTTTCATGTAATTTCAGCCTGATTAAAAAAAAACATTTGCGCCGCGGCACGGGGAGGATGTGCTGTGCTGACGGCGGCGCCTCCTTCGCCGCTCCGCCCCAGATCCTGATGGCTGCTTGCATTCACCAAACTCTCCATATATACGGCTCTGAGAGAGGGCAGAGCATTTTATACTGGGAAAGTTCAGCAATCCTTTTGATCATGCCGACAGTCTAGCAACCATGATCAGAGATCTCGCAAAAATGTTTTCGTTGCCATATTGTGTTACTATTTTCTGTCCTACTCTGGATTAGCTACCCCATGTCTGCAGTGACGTGTCATCCCCTGAAATGGTACGTCGTTAAAAGCACATATGGCTCTTTCCAAGGAATCAATTGCACATACTTTGTTATCTACAAGAATCTCCAAAAATATGCATATTCCATTCACTTTTCATTTCTACAAAATTACTTTTCTTTACTCCCACCACCACCTCCTGAGAGGAGGTAAAGTACGAGTTTCTTAATTGCGCGTAAACGCCATTTTAAAGACCACAAATATAAAAAAGTGTTTTTCCACCGTAACTATTTTTGTGCATAAAGAATGTGTACTTACCTACTCGAAGGAGTTAGAATGGGTATATTTAAGCTTCTATTTCAAGTAAAATAAGATGAAAAAACTAAACTCTGGCGCAACTCTTCCGTATTTAGTAGTTTTTGGGCGATATTTTAACACATCCTAGAAATAGGTTCTCAGGCTAAGACATTTGCATAAAGAACGTATACTTACCTACTCGAAGGAGTTAGAATGGGTATATTTAAGCTTCTATTTCAAGTAAAATAAGATGAAAAAACTAAACTCTGGCGCAACTCTTCCGTATTTAGTAGTTTTTGGGCGATATTTTAACACATCCTAAAAATAGGATCTCAGGCTAAGACATTTGCATAAAGAACGTATACTTACCTACTCGAAGGAGTTAGAATGGGTATATTTAAGCTTCTATTTCAAGTAAAATAAGATGAAAAAACTAAGCTCTGGCGCATTTCTTCCGTATTTAGTAGTTTTTGGGCGATATTTTAACACATCCTAGAAATAGGTTCTCGGGCTAAGACATTTGCATAAAGAACGTATACTTACTTACTCGAAGGAGTTAGAATGGGTATATTTAAGCTTCTATTTCAAGTAAAATAAGATGAAAAAACTAAACTCTGGCGCAACTCTTCCGTATTTAGTAGTTTTTGGGCGATATTTTAACACATCCTAGAAATAGGTTCTCAGGCTAAGACATTTGCATAAAGAACGTATACTTACTTACTCGAAGGAGTTAGAATGGGTATATTTAAGCTTCTATTTCAAGTAAAATAAGATGAAAAAACTAAACTCTGGCGCACCTCTTCCGTATTTAGTAGTTTTTGGGCGATATTTTAACACATCCTAGAAATAGGTTCTCAGGCTAAGACATGTGCATAAAG